TTTTTTTTTTTTTTTTTTTTTTTTTGTCAAAGCGTCTGGAAAACTATAAATATCAACGGAGTCAAATCTGAACAGATTCAAAGTCTAATAATCTGATAAGTAAAAGCATATCTAAAAATATACAGAAAAGAGAAAGGTGAATGGCGAATCTAGAACCCTATATACAAGGCTGCTAAAAATCATTAAACAATGTCAATGGCTCCCTCGGCAGCTGTGATTTCAACGTCACAATTATTAGAGTCATACGCAGCGCAGCGCTTCACCCGCGATCCTCGAAGGCAAACTAAGGCTGACCAAAAAAGGCCAATGGATGTCTTTGCTCGGATCCAGGAAATTGTTTGCGAGTATCGTTCCCCTAAATAATGTAGAGGATAGCTTTTACAAATTATAATTACAACAGCAAAGCAGTTACCAGATGTGACCTTCTCTGCCAGTTCACTTTGCCTTGTATTGATGAAAATGTAATTAAATATTGGCTAAAATATAGACTGAGAAAATAAGTAAAATGAAAATAAAAGCCAAATTTCATGATCACTTTCCCATTTGCTGCTGTTTTGAATGGGTAACTAACATTTAAACCAATGCAAGTGATTTTCTTCATTGATTCACTAAGCAGAGTTCTCTATAAGGAGAAATTCTGTCTTGATCACTCATTGGAGTTCAAGAGTTAAGGGTCGATGCTTGCCCTTCATGGCCAAAAAAAGTAGACGGGCATTCATTGTTGTTTTCTCTGCCTAACTTTACACCGAAGACTTTGATAGCTGATAAAGTCCTGCTGGGAAACAAGTAATATTTGCCTGCATGCTGCTTGTGCTCATTTGAAACACTGCAAAAATAATAGTAGATTGTCTTTACCAGATTTGTATTCTCCATTGACAAGTGCTGCCATGTCTCGTCTCTGCCACTCCCTCTCACTACCACCTCTCTCGACCCTTGGCAAATTCCCATGAAAACCTTCACGGTTAAATGGATGGGAATCTAGGAAAGGTGCATCATGCAACCCTAACCGCTCTGATGGACCAACAGAAGATCTTCTTCACCCATTATCAGGCTGAAGATGTCTAAGGTCAAGTTCATTTCCATAACGATCACCAAATCCTTTTCCATCTGGAGGTGGATGGTGAAAAGGATGGAAAGGAAAGCCACGGTACAGGTGATCTGCCTCCCTACTGGTTGCCATGCGAGCCAAAGATGGGTCCCCTTTGTGAGGGTCAACTAAAAGGGGGCTCTGATGAAGAAAATGCAAAAATCAATTGAGTAGGAATTAAAGGAAACTGGCCTTGAGTTAAATGTTCTTCCTTACTACAATGTCAGGATTTGGTCCACTGGCTCATTTGTGAGAGTTTGCTCTGGGATCTGAGCTACAAACCACAAACACAATACACTGACCCAGCCAAGTCTCAAACCTGTTTTCTCTCCAACAGGAAACCAAAGCATCTCCCGTACTGAGTAAATGGACCAATACATAATTTCATGACTGCATCTTCACAAGTGTTTTCTGACCTTGATACTGATGGGTGTGGTGGGAGAAGAGATAAGTTTAAAATGTTAGAAGATATAAGTTTAAAATGTCAGACAATACCTTGCTGGTGTCTAAGCGCTGTTGGTGATGTGGTTGTGGATAGCGCATAACACCTAAACCTCCAGGTTTTTCTTGTGGTAGGTGATGTCTTGGCCAGTCCTCTCCAGGTGCACGGAGGTTGTCTTTCTGCTCCAACATCAGCCGTTCATGCAATAAGAACTCCTATAAGGCAGGAAGCATATCAATATAGTGTCATGCAGGAAAGTAATGAGAAAAGGAAAAAAACAAGGGGATTTTGCTAAGTCTGGCACCAGATTCTCAAAGCTAAAATTACCTGAAATCCATGGCAGACAATATGGAGAATTCATATTTAGATCTTTAGTGAAAAGGGTTAAGATGGTGAAATTCACATTATGATCAGTTATTGGAAAATACTTACCTGCCTTTCCCGTTCTCTGACAAATTCAACATGCCTCTCATCCAAGGGGTGGAGGGGGTAAGGAGCATCTCTAGGGGGGTGCACCATGTATGGATGAAGAACAGGCACTTCATGTGCTGGGAGAAACATCCTTTTGTATTCACCAGGTCGTGTCATCTTGGAAACCATCATAGGGTCACCTCGAACATGAAGTGCATGACTTCTAGGTGGCTCAGATGAACTTGATGTTGGTGCTCCGCCAGGGGTGCCATGCCCATGAACAGGGCAGGATCCTGGTTTGTGTTCCTGGTAGAGCCCCCGCTGCAGAGATGCTTCTGCAGAACTTCTTTTTGGCTCTCCTGGGCCACTTTCATTTTCTTTGCCTTTCTTTGCAGACTCAACAGATTCCTAAATATCCAAAGAGGGATTAATGAATGAAAAAATGCTTTGTAGCACTTTTTTAACTTAAAAAATGGCTTGTACCCTCATGTGGCAAAGGAGAGGAATTCACCAAATCAAACTTTCAAATAAATGCCTAATCCCAAGTTGAAATTATTTTTCTGTTCCAGTCCATTACCTAACACATACATAGATGGAGTGGTACTGATAGTGATGACAACCATGATAATGATGATGACAATTCATCATGGTTGAACCCTTTAACTCTCAGTAGTGATTAACATGTAACTTCTCCTTGTAATATCCATGCAATGTCCAGCAAAAAGGTAATGAGAATACTCAAACTTATCAGGTATAGGTTGTTATCTTGATCTAACATCAAATTCTCATGACTGACTTACAGGGAACTACATAGCAGCTAGTGTGGAGAATTAACAATCAGATCTTTAGTTTCTAGTTTCTAAAGATTTGTACATTGTACAGGTGGAAGAACAATAGGACACGTAGTCCCCTACTAGGTTCATCCACCTAAACCCAACCCACCCATCCCACCCGGGGGAAGACATCCATCACACAGTATTCTCGCACAGGTGAAATTAATGTCTCCTACCCCTCCTGCAGGAGACTGGACCTCCATTTATTCATCCCCATCCGAGAAGACTAGAACATCTAACCATTTCTTGATGTTATAGAAAGGTAGCATATTCTTGTCAACTATTTTAAGACCTTGAGTATTGGTCCAGCCAGGGCTCGAACCCTCCACCTCCTGCACAACAGTCTAGCGCTCTATCCATTGGGCTAACTGGGAGGCAGTAAATCATTTAATCTTGGGAGTTAAATGGCTAAAACATACTAGGTAACATCCACTTGCTTTTAACCCTTTGGACCACAAGTAAGAGTGACCAGCATCTAATTTCTCTTTACAATAATACTGCTTGGTAATTCAATAAGATCATGAGAATAAAGGAAATGATCATCAACCTGTGAAGCTCTGATTGTCAAACAAATTCTCCTTGTAAGTATCGAAGGAAATGTAGAGAAAAGAGTATGAAGAATATGAAGTAAATTACTTCTTCAAGAAACAAACTTACTGATTCACAAAAGAAAAACATCTTAACCAGTACAAGAATGTCATTTCACACCTGCTTCCTGGTTTCACGAGACTCGGGATTGTCCCCTGGCCTTAAATGTGGTGAGTTCTTCCGAACAAATGGATCTACATTACTCGGCGGTAAATGCCGTGCTGCGTCACCAGGATGAGCAATAGGAAGGTCGTAAGGTTCTATAAGCACTGAACCATCTGGCAAAATAGAATGACGCTCATGCTGTTGACGTAAATGTTCTGCAGCTCGTTGCTGCCTCCAGGTGCTAAAACGAACATCATGGGGATCTAAAACCTGCAAGGAAACAGTTGGTTACATTTCATTGAAATTTTAGATTAATGGTATTGCAGTGATCATGTTTATTTTTTTCCCTGATGAAAAAGGATGATGTCTGAAGTGATTGACAAATGATCCTTGAAAAATTAATGATACAAATTGTTACATTCAATCTGGAAAAATGAAATTTTTCTTCAGGATGTTGCTGATAGTATGTAACTCACACTGCTTTGAGTGCCCTCTTTGCCAGTTTCATTGGAGTTTTAACTTCAGAAACCCAAAATATTCTAACTCTGCCAACAAAGAGATTTTTTCCCACAACAGGATCACCAAGGTAGCAATCATACACACACATACACTTAAATAACGACCTATTGATAAATAAGTTGTTCAGAGAATACCACGGCATTTAACTCATTTGATTCAATTTTTATTGTCATATAAAGAATAATCATAAAGAATCGTGTTAATCATCATACTCATCTTACCGTTGGAGGGTAAGGTGTTGGATAAAATGCTGGCAACATATGGGCTTCTGGACCATCTCGTTTAGAGGCCAACAAAGGAGGGGGACCAGGTGGATGGGACCCTCTTGGGACATATATTGGCAATTCTGGCTTAGCTCCATAAGCAGGGTAAAAGGCTACAGGAGCATGAGGAGGAGGTTCAGGGCCAGGGTAGTGCTCTGACAACATGGGTACCTCTGAATGACCTTTAATAGATAAGTAAAAACATAGTCAGGAGTGAAGAATTATAGAAACCATTTTGCTGCATTGGTGGAGATAAATCCTCATATTTTGGCAAAATTTGAACACATGTTAGAAAAATAGAGTGTCATGTAAACCCTTCTAATTTTTGCACTCATTGTGCTCAACAGATACAAATGTACTAGTACATGTGAATGCTTTTCATTTAATCATTTATTTCATGTTCCAGACCTTAAATAAAGATCTGTTTGTGACCTAAAAAAAAGAATAAGTGAAGAATGATTTTCATAATTCAAATAATATCAAACTAGCCTTAATTTATATTCTTTGTTTAAGGATTATGGTGATATAAATGCATGATCAAAAACAAAAGAAAACATAAACCAAGGAGGTTTAAATAAATTTAGCCAGGGAGTTATTTGTATGAAATATATATATATATATATGTGTGTGTGTGTGTGTGTGTGTGTGTATGTGTGTGTGTGTGTGTATTTCAACTGCAAAGATTCAGCCAAACATGTGTCCGTTTTCCATATACAAATGTAACTGACAAACACCATTTTGTTTTGTTTTTTTAATGCCTTAATAAAGATTATGTTCATATTTCCAAGGAAACCAAGATTTAGCAGAAAAAAAATTTGAATCAATAGGCAAGAAGTATGATTTCTCATCTTGTTGGAAAACACACAAACACCACATCCTGAAATCAAATCTCAAATATTTCAAATTAAATGCTGAAGATACAAAGAAGTTACTCCGTTACATAATTATTTTTATCTTTTTTGTTTATGGAGAAGCACAATGGTTGAAAGGGAGACAAATTCAAGTTCCTATTTTGTTAAATTTACGCTTTCTTTTCACCACAAAATTTACATGAAGCATTAAATAAACAGATTTCCTTAACCTGAATCAACGAACTCACAGACAGATATCAGTTGGTAGATTAAAATGACTTCCTTTCAATCACTCAAATTAATTGATAATGAATTGACATAAAATAATTTTTCATCAGAATTGCAACATATATCTTGATGTAAAGGAGTTTTTTTGAAGGAATATTGATAAGTAGCATTTTTGTCAATGACCTGCTATTCAAGGCAAATAAAAATGTGTTTTGGTTTTATCTTCTAATGAGAAACAAAAGTCTGAACTTCTAAGATCAAAGCTCCAATCTTTCAGAAAATCAGAAAAGGTTGAACTTGAATTCAACCCTAAAAGATAACCCAGAAACCTCAAAAAAATGGACCACATTACATGATATTTAATGGTTCCAATCCTTTTGATATGAGAACCTTGTGCAATTATAAATAACCCCCTACCCAACATGAATAAATATTTTTCAAATTCTACACAAACTTAAGTGAGATGTTACCTTGTTTAAACACAAGGAAAATGTTCTCTGCTGTATGTTCCACAGTTTACATGAAAAACCAGGATCATACCTGATTGAAATCACCTTAAAATGTCTTAAGAAAATTCACCACAATCCAGTGATCTTATTAATTATTCAACAACAATGAAAGGCATAAGGTTTGAATTTGTTTGGAGATTTCTACAGTTCTACCCGTTTGTCACTTTGCTAAGCAACTGAAATTTCTTCAAGAGGAATGTCTGATCATGAATACTGAAATCAAAATTTTGTGAATCAATTTCCATGTCCTTTCCAATTCAAAAAGCCTGGGAGACTTCCTTTGTAATCCACCTCGAGGTGACTCAAACCATTTTGTCTCTTGTACAAATAATTCATTAACTTATGCTTTTGAAAAAATTCTGTGTGATCTGAAACTGAGAATAATGGCAGAATATATTTTGCTTACCCTTGTTGATTAAAAAAAAAAACTGAAGGACAGGAGATAAGGCCTAGCTGTGAGACATGCTGCATGACTGCACAGTATTCATGGTTGATGTTATGAAGAGAACATAGTCACATACAGACAGGTGGTTTTGGATAAATTAAAATAAACAAGGCTAAAAAGTGCAAGGCTTATTATTCAAATGACTATCTTCCCAACAAGGAAAATAGGCAAAATCATAATAAATCTCCCCACAGATTCTAGAACAGTTAATCTCACTTTGAGTAGAGACCGAAACAGCACGGATGTGCAAACTGACAACACCACGATCAGAATTTCCTCGTACTCAAACCATTTTCCAATGTTCTATGCAGTTCAATTCAAAGTAACTACACAGTACTTACAGTGCCACCTGGAACACTCAAGAGAGAAAACTAACTACTTGCTTTTGTTTTTTTTTTTAATATTATGGAAGCCCTACCTCTGGGAACTGTAGAGAAGACACCTGGCATCACTTCACGGCTCATGCGAGGGTGGCTGACTTCTGGTCTGTGGGGACCCCTGTTTGGCTCACGTGTTTGCTCACCTTCAAAAGAAATCAAAGAACACACCATTAGCATACTATATGCCAATAACAATTTTGTTATTGTACAATTTGCTCTGCAGTCTACATTTATTTGACAATTATCTTGTAGAAATAGCATTGTTGAACTGACAAAACCTCCTCCCTTACGAAAGCAAACCTATTTTATTTCTATTTAATGTCTATTTTAATTCTATCACCTCTATTTTTGTACTATTTTATTTTCTCAGACTTATATTTTATTCCTATTTTATCTGAAAGGGAAAATAGAGCCACTATTTTAACCATATTTTAAGGCAAAGTTGAACAAGGTGGTGTATTTTATTTCTATTTTCTCAAAATGATCAGAAAAATAACCAGCTTAACAGACTATTTTAATCATATTTTATTTTCTACATCAGTAAAATAGTGATCAAATAGTCTGTTTTATTTCTGTTTTCTGCTGATAGGACATGCTAAAGCCATTTCCTTTGAAAAATATGAAAAAAATAGGCTATCACAACCCTATTTTATCAAAGAAAATGTTGACTAATTGCAAAATAGATTTAGAATAGACTGTTTTATTTCTATTTTTTGAGGTGGATTCTAATCCATAGCAAAATAGGTATTAAATAGTCTATTTTAATTCTATTTTCTTCAAAGTGTCCCAGACCCACAATATTTTAAACAGCAACTAGCTGTGAAGGTCCTATTTTATACCTATTTTATTCATGAATTCAAGCTTGACTAACATACAGTACTCTAAAGTCACAGTTTCTGTGTTGACAAGATAAAGATGGGTTCAAATTTGAAAACATTGGGTGGAAGTTTTCAAGTTTCGC